GTAATTTATATCTTACACTATTAAACGCTGGAGGGAATGTGGCTGCATCGCTGACAGACCCAGAATGGGAAGGCCTCGTTCTGTTCGCACTCCGCAGCTTGTGCAGAGAGTAAAACAGCGAATTGTGAGAAATTGCCGACTTTCTGCCAGAAAGATGGCTCGGGATCTGGACACGTCATGCACAACTGTAAGGCGAGTGCTCGATGAAGCTCTTGGCCGACGTGCATACAAGAGACGACGTGTCCATGGACTGACAGCTGCGCGACAGGCTGCCAGATTTCTTCGCTGCAAAAGACTTCTTCGGCGTTTCACCATCCAGAGAGTGCAATCAATCGTATTTTCAGATGAAAAAATCTTCCACGTGAAAGAGCAGCTGAACGCTCAAAATGATCTAGTCTATGCCTTGTCGGTAGAGAATATTCCCCAGTCAGCAAGGAACGTGCAGCACTTTCAGTCAAGCAGCAGCATCATGATGTGGGCGGCCGTATCAGCAGAAGGCAAATTTCCTGTCGTCTTCATTTCATCTGGCGTCAAAGTAAACAAAGAATATTACAAACAGGAGATTCTGCAGAAGATTGTGAAGCCGACAGGGGAACAGATGTTCAAAAGCCGGAGGTGAACATTCCAACAAGATTCTGCACCTTCCCCCAGTGCAAAAATCAACCAAGCCTGGTGCGAAGAAGTCTTCCGGATTTCATCGACTCGTCAGAACGTCATCCTTATCTCCAGACTTAAACCCCATGGATCATTCCGTTTGGGGGACACGACAAGCCAGGATCGACGTTAACTGTCACACCAGTTTGCACAGTCTCAAATGCGCCATCATTGCGAGAGTGGAAGAAACTTCCAATGGATTCCGACGAGACTGTGCGACTTTCCTTCTTTTGCATTAGTGAATCACGTGACTAAGTTCTAGAAACAAATTTTGTTCCGTTGTTATGCTGTCGTCGTTATAATTTTGTCAAAAGACTTATGGCGCACCCTGTAAATAGAGGAATGTAAATTTTATCTGAACGTGATATCATTTGCTCGAGAATCGCAAAAAATTGATATATTGTTTATATAAACATGCTGCTTGGGCAGAAGTTCATATAAATTCTGTACACTTTCTAGACTGTGACACAAAAGAAACTCATACAACCCTATATTATGGAAATTCTGTAAAATTTATTTCGTAGAATTATCTAGAAATTTGGTAAAATTCGTGATAGGAATTCTGTAGAATCGTCATAGAATGTCTATACGGTGTTTTACTAGTAATAGAATTCTATAGAGAGAAATAATAGAACTATATACGACCTGAAAGAGTTTTTTCTTTGGAGAGTCTATAGAATATTTTTGCCAGAGATATCTTCATGGTGCCAAATGCGTTTTGGCGAAGATGCAACATTCACGTGAAGGGGCTGATCGAGAAAAATATAAATATTTGAGTCACGGGAAGGGAGGACTTCATCATTGATGAATCTGCGACGCCGATCCGTAACATTTTCAAACATTCATGCCTGCACTCCCATTCCAAGAGTTTTGGCTGAATCGTTGGAAATCTGGCTCGGTGCGCTCCAAGACTTGTTTTATCCTGGCGGAGCCTTTCACACAGGACCGGCCCTCGTCCCCCCCCCCCTCCCCCCCTCCCCACCCCCTCAGAAGGGAGAAGGGTGAATTCCTAGAGTTCAAAAAGACGTCGATACGTGTGGCACGTGCCTAAGGCAGCGCCCAGCTTTCACTCTTTCAAAACGCGAAAATTTTCTTTCAAGATCACCGGGGCTCGGTCGCTTCGCGGCCGTTCGCGTGGGACGTCGTCGAATCGGAAGCGAACCGCGTTTCGAATTCGAGCGGTTCGGAGAGACGTCGCTCTCGTCCGAACGATTTCGCCGTTCTCGATCTCGATCGATTCTCGAATGGGAAGATCTCGGAGGCATGTCGAGGCATCGTCGAAGAGAGAATCTCGAAATGGCGGCTTCGATGCCGTGGTTCCTCCATGGCACTAAATAGTCATCATTTCTTCTTTTTTCCCCCATCGAATTCTCAGTCGGCGAACTTTCTCCCGCGAATTCGGACGAGGTGGCACGGAATCACTCACAGATGGATTTCCCATGTCTTTCTAAGTCCAGGGGCATTGAAATTTCACGAATCGAAATAATTAGTCGTTTTGAGATGGGCGATCGATGGACTCGGAGCCGTTTCGGTCCGACCCGTACTTCAGTACTTCGGTACTTCGGCAATTCGGTTGCACCTCTTTCTCGTCCTTTCTTCGAGCCGGAGATGCGGAAAGCTCGAGTACCTCCTGGACGCTTATTTTGCGGCATCAGTCCATGAGTTTTTATTTCATTATTTTTAAATATTATTTTATACAAAAGCAATACGTTTGAGGGTACATTGCTGCTCCTTCCGAGGAAGGTCGCTCGTAATCTGGAATCGTAGATGCAAGGACGACGGTTCTCGTATTCTCACGGGACGCGAGAAGTCGACTGAAAGTCTCCGCGAAAGACGAAAACTTGCTCTCGATGCATAACCACGAGCTGCACTCCTTCGTTGCCGGTGTGCAGTAATTGGAATGCGATATTTAGTCGGCATCTGGTTCCATGTGCGCTGCCATCTGCAATCGGACACCGACAGAAAAGCGAACGAAACGCTTCGAAAACGATCGAGAATGAGCCCAATCGAGGACATGTCCCATCGATGTCATGCCCCATCGAGGATATGCCCCATCGAGGACATGCCCCATCGGTGTCATGCCCCATCGGTGTCATGCCCCATCGAGGACATCCTGCCACTGCCGTTACATTTCACACGATCGCGATCGGTTGGGGGCGCGTTGCGGGAAGACAGAAACGAAGTCAGGCACTCGTCGGCATAAAAATGAGGATTTGGACGCGACGCTGTTCGCATCGTCATCCACGAACTCCGTCGCACGGAAGAGTCTCATCTCGCTAATGCAGGGGTTGCGTTCTCCTCGGCTAAGCCGAGATCCACCGTCCGAGTGGCGTTTCTCACGAGGGGAAGCACTTCTCTCGTTCTTGCACCGTTTCTCGTGCACATTTTTCATCGGAGCGTGTCACGCGTGATTACGCCCTCTGCGAGCGAGAATTCCTTCGCAATCCTTCGTTTTAACGCATTTTCGTTACTCTCCTTGATTTTAAGCCGGGAGCAGGGCGTATATAGGGTCCTCAAAATAAAAATAAAAATGCTCTACCGTTTTCTATGGGAGAAACGTTTCAGTTTCATAAAAGGAACAAAAAATTTCCATTGGATACGCCATCGATATTAAACAGTTACAAGGTGTTGAAATGCATGTCAGCTCTTTTTCAGGAACCCTGCCTAAGTTGTGCAATGCCCATTTAGAGGTGAATTAAAGGTGCTTAGAGGTGGATCATTCCACCTTGGGTGAGTTGATGACCTGTGCGTACAGCGCCCTCTTGCGGTTGTGAAAAAACCTGAGACTCATGAACCTCCCTGTCAAGTATCAGCTGCACACAGCTGTCCCTTGAAAAGGGACAGAGGTTAGAGTCAATCTAAATAAGGTGGTGACATAATCATGTAGTCAACACCTGGGGGTTGGGGGTCATTTTGTGCCCTCAACCCCAACCCAATCGCATTAAAACTCACTTTTCTTGGCCTCCGTTCGAGGTACAGACATGTTTTTGTCTGCTGGCTATTCTGAAAATAATCCGACCGTTTTGCCAAATTTGATTGAATTCTGAGACGGTCGAGCACATGTCACTTGAGGTGGAACGATCCACCTCTAAGCACCATTAATTCACCTCTAAATGGGCATTGCACAACTTAGGCATGGATGCTGAAAAAAAAGCTGACACACATGTCAACACCTTGTAACTGTCCAATTTCGATCGCGTATCCAATGGAAAAACTTTCGGCTGCATTAATGAAACCGTGTTTCTCCCATAGAAAATGGTTGAGCGTTTTTTTTTTAAATCACCCTATACTCACCAGACGGTGAGCGAGAATCTCTCAAGGAATCGTGAAGCAAGTAGATATGTTTTTAAAAGAGAAAGTTTTTGTTACTGCGACGTGCGGCTGCAGAGAAAAAATATCGCTCACGTGACTCTCGGGACACTCTTCGAATTTTCGGAATTGATTCCAACCTGTTTGTTTTCTTCTTCGTGCGTTTGTGGTCTTACCATTTCCAATCTTACCGTAAACGTAAATATTCGAAGACGGAAAAGAAGTTACAAATGATCTAAATTTTTTTTTTAAGTTGACTTTTTTCATTAAATTTGGAAGGATTGAGGTCGTCATGCATTTTTTACGTAGAAGCCCGATCGGCCGTTTTAAGGTTTCCAGTTCGGTCTCACTTTTGTCCTTCGCGGATGAAGTGAATCGGGAAAGCGTTAAAACCCAGGGAGAAAAGGACGAGAAAAAATCAGGAAATCAGGAAAAAAAACTGCGCGCAATTTTCCTTCCGATTGTACCATGTACAATGGTCCCGTTGTACCATGCCTCTCCTGACCATGGAGTCGTTCCTGATCGGTGGTTCTTAGCGTCGCGATCACGTTCGTGGGAGAACGTCTGGAAGAGCCCCTCCGCGTCTTAGACGCATTCCTCCCGCGTTTTTAAAACTGCTGGTGATGTCATCGATGACGTCACCCTTCGACATCCTGGGCGCGTCTTTTTTCCTAGCGGCTTTGCTGAGGCCTCCAGCATCCCATGACGTCATGTTAGGGCTGAGCTGCTCAGCTCTCCCATAGTTCGCTATGTACCGCTGCCAGCTACTTGCCCAAGAGTGACGTCATTCAATGACGTGGTCGTGCCTAGCCAACACGTCTTTTTCGCTAGCAGCTGCTAGCGGCTGGAGAAAAAGACACGCCCTTTGTCTCTCAAGAACTGGTGACCAAAACTCTCTAATTTGGAGTACAGTAGAGGATTCACTTTGCATGTCTACATGCTCCTCCCTACCGACACCAGAGCACTTGATATGCTTTTAGCAAAAGCAACTTTTCAAAATTACCAGAGAAATGTTCATTTTGGTAATCATGCCCCAAATGATTTTGGTAATCAATATTAGAATACTTGGTTGGTTTCGGTTTGCCTATTTCTGCCTCCAAAACCGATTTTTATGGAAAAAAAAATAGTTTGAAAGTGTGTGACTTACTAAATGGAAAAAGATCATTTTAATCCAAATTTTAATTGTATCAAAAGTAAGTGTAGGTTTGTAAACTTTCCAAGGCATTCAAATTTAAATATAACACATTATTCGGTCAGCTAATGGCACCCTCTCAAATGATTTTAGACAAACTCCCTTGTTCGTTGCGAGTTAGGTAACGCAAAGCCTGCAGTTTTCATGCATTTGCTACAGCAGTCTCACAGATTCCTGGTCTGTTTGAACGAGAGTATGGAAAAGATTTATGAAGCAGTGCTCTTCACAGGGCCAGGACAGGCAGTCCCAGTGTTGGTGAATTGAAATGTATAACCAAGAAACAATGCACGGTAGTGATTGGTTTTGTATCCAGGCACCCGCCTAGGCTTAAAGGAAGGATGAGATACGGATGCCAGCAAAATATTTATTTCACAAAGGTGAAAATTCAAGTAAACTTGATCTTGTAAGATGTGCTTTTGCTAGGAGACAGATAGCAGTAGCGTACCCAGAGTATGTCTTTCCACAAATCTGACATTTTGCCTTGAACATTTTTCCCCCATCTCTTCGAAGAATGTCTCATCCAGGATCCCTTGCACTGGAAGCACAGTCACACCATCTTCAATGGGTTCAGTCACATTCTTGATATTCATCAGCTGAGACTGATAGTTGCCAGAACTCCATGGAGTCCAATTAGCAATTAAAAATTAGAATAAAATTGCAATTGATATATAAATGCAAATTACAGCCCTGGAAATGTAACTATTGTAAATATAACAATAAATTACAAATAAAAATTATTAATTTGCAGTTTAAATTACTTTTATTTCGATTACTGCCCATCGCTGACTACAGATAACCAGATTTATTTCATCAGTAACAGTGGCAGCTGAGCATCAGTTCAGAGCTGAACAACCCTACTAACTCTTCCTAGCAATACTAGGTTCTTTGCAACCAGGTTGAAGAAATCCCTCCATCAGAATGCTCCTGCTTTGTGAGGGACTTAAGATGAGTCAAAATTCTAGAGATTAAAATGTTGGAGTAAAAAATCTTTATTTCATTATATTAAATGAGGATTACCCAGCCAAGATGCAATTCCATATTCCTACAGTTTTTGTGTAGATAGATGCATGCCTTGAACACACGATTCCATCATCATTACAATCATAATGAACCTGGATTTCCTAACATCACAAACCAAGTAAGCCAAATTTCTTTGCCATCTGGCTAAAGGAATAATAAAAATTTGTCACTACAGCTGCTTTTAGACACAGTTGATTTGTGAGCTGTATTTTTCATTCTTCTGCTGCAGACTGAGTGCAGGAAAAGAAAAACTTTTTACAAATTAATTCAAATTGGGACCAGATGCAAAAATGGGTTGGTTGGATAGGGTTGGAAAACCCAAAACAACTACAGTGCCAGTCATTTCCCTGCATCAGAGTGAGCACACATGGAGAGATGAAGGTAAGAACTAGGAGAAAGGACATTCATAGCATATTCTATGCTAGCTGATCAGAATGACTACTTTATCCTCATGTGGGAATGTGGAATAGCAAATCTGACACTTTGGCTCCCTCATCCAAACAGTTCTGTTCAAAGTCATGATTTCTTGGCCAAGACACACCAGTTGCCCTCATCATAGTAGCTTTGTACTATTGTGAGCTGTGGCACTTCCTCACACAGTGCAGGCAGCTCTCCTTCAACAAAGACATGATAGTAACGGTATGTTGTACCCATCTTTGAAGTCCAGGGAACAAGGACATCTGAATGCTGAAATTCTGTCCCATTCACGTGAAGTGGGAGCGCAACAGTCATCCCATCTGGCCCTTGAAACTCTCGAAATTCCACTTCACCTTCTGAAGACTTGCCTCGATCCTTCTTAAGATATGATGAATCTTTCTGGTCTCTCTTCTGTTCCCGAGCCCAAACATAAACCAGAAGCATCCCTCCCTGCCTCAATACACGAGTCATCTCTCCAAGTGCATGCAGACGGTGAGCCTAAAGACATAATGGACCACTTTGTACTCAATATCTGTGAAGAATAATTGTGATGGGTGAATGAGAGACAGGATGAAAGAATGACCCTGGAAGCAAGATGATGAAGTGTGGCAATGGAGATGCAGGCATCAAAGAGAGAGTCTCGGAAAGGGAGACCCAGCATATTTCCTTGGACGACGGAAAACCCTCGGTCCCTGGCTATCCCTGCCAATCCTCTGCTCAATTCACACCCTATCTACAAATGGCAAGAACCAGTAATATGAAATCTTTCCCTACATCTCATTATCTATCAATGAAATGCTTAATGGATGGACCTCCACAATTGATTGATGAGGATTTCTCAACCCAAAGTATTTGCCATTCCCACATCCAACATCCAAGAAGAGGCTTCCAGGAACTAGGTCCATCACTAATTCCTTCACTCTTGGCCATGGCTTATAGCGAGTGGAACTGAAGTGCTCAGCAATCTCTTCATACACCTTTCAACAATGATCCAGATTCGGACTATTAACAAGAATGTGGCATCAAAAGGAATGATGAAGGTCCTAAGGATTTACATCAGCTACATGAAGTTGTTCCAGGATGGGACTTATGAGTTCAGTGGAATCAATTCCATCATTGGACAACTGAGAATCACAGAGAAGTGGGAAGGAGCAGTGGCATGGTGAGGCACGGAGCCGCCGAAATGTAAAAGATGTCCTTGTTGTCCGCCAAAGAAGTGATAGACCATGTGGTGATCTCACAACGTCGGTCTTCCTTGGAGCAATACGATGAGCCCAAGCATACCTGAAACAAAGACATCAAATTGAGATTCTCCCAATAAGAGCTGGCTTCATTCAGTGATATCAAAGTCCATCTAACCTGGATTCTCCATCCATGACTAGAAGACTGCGAGGAGGTAAAGTGATGGAAACCCTCTGACCATTAACTTTATGCCGGAACTCAATGTTCACCTGGCCTTGAAGACTCAGAGAGAGGATGGGGCTCTCAAATGCACTGTGAGTGTCAATATGCCACGCTATTCCTATGGAAACAATTTAAAATTCCATGACATTCTTTGAATAAATACTAGATCAAGTTTGAGTAAAATAACTCACCATGACCAGGGCTATACCGGTTGACTGTTAGCTGGTCAGGAGGGAGAGGGCAAATTCCCCTCAAGAGAAGCTGATCAATCACTGGCTGGCATGAAGGTGGAAATCCACCTGGGAGAGGAGAATCCTTGTTGACATTGTTTGTTGAATAGTCAAACTGATAGCCATAATGCCTCACTTGACGCTCCTTCAGATCGCGGCCTGGATGAGAAATGGAGGAACTTGGAGTTTCAAAAATACTAACTCCCAGTGAAGCCACAGATTCTTCCAATTGGAAGATTGAGACACATTTCATTTTCCTACCTTCAAGAGGAGGTGTGTCCCAAGACACACTCTTAAGGAGCATCTCCTCTTCCTCTTCACTGACAAAATCTTTTATGAGTTGAAGTCCTTCAGGGAGTTTCTCATCTTTACATTTCAACTTCCACTTCTCTGGGACTGTAGGAAATACAATACAGGAAATAGATAATAAGAGAGGGAACTTGTACATCATCTCTAGTCTGCTGCAGTGGTTGATGGGAGATTGGATGCTCTGCTTACTTCAAGGAACAACAACAACCAGGTAGAATCCAAGCCTTATTTGCCAATAGTTTTCACATAACAATGTAGAAAAAACTGTATGAGTCTTCCTTGCCCAATCAAAATGACATTCCACCATTTTCAGCCTTTGAGCCAACAAGGGAGCATGGGAACGGGAACTTAATCCAGATGATGGTAACTCACTGGCTGCAAGGTAGGTGAGGTAAAGCGTTTTGCCATCAAGAGGAATCTTTCCATGAAGATTCAGCATTGCCTGCTCAGCCTGCTCTTGCGAATGGAATTCCACAATGGAAAAGGCTGAATTAGGAAGCATGACAAGTTTTCTGATAACACCATAGGGAGACAGGACTTCTAAAAGACTTTCTTCTGTGTCTCCTGTCATAAGCCCAGCATTGCACACTCCCAGAACCTGCATTTAGATCACCATCATTCCAGCTATTATGTATAACTTTGGCCTATGTCAATTTTAAATATATGACTAACCTGAAGGTTAAAGGCATATCACCTCAGTTTCACAAGTTTCCATATTATTTTTTAGAAAGAAGAAAATTGATCCATTTCCATAGCAATGATTTATATCAAAGGAACTCCCATTTGATATGTTGCTATTGCATTTGACACAAGTATTGTCAGGCCACCTTGAAGCAGAAAGATTAAACTTGAGAAGTGATGAATTTTTCAAGTAATTTCTTTTTAATTTGCCTGACTTTTAGATAGAACTTAACTGGACTTACATGATAATACAATGCCTAAGCCCTGCTGCAGAGCTTGTCATTTCCTATTTGCCAATTTTTACTAAATATTGACCCCCATAATTAGGAACAAATAGCCACTCATTGATATGGGGATGGAATACTCTGAATATTTCCATGAAATGGCTTTCAACCCAGATACAAAGGGGAATGGTTATCGCAATTTGCCTGATTACTTCAGAATTAGAAAAATCTGATGTACACTTATGTACAAGAAATTACCACAAAGCCTATTTCATGCACTTAATGGTACGGAAGGAATTAGTAAAAGTATCCATACTGGAGAAGGATCATTCTGAGGCGAGAGATCCGGATCGAAGGCAAGGATTTTCTTTTGGGATCGACGTTGTTTCTTGTCAGCTTTCCTCATCGAGCGCACGCCATCCATCGCTGCCTCATTTTTTTCGCATTGTGCCTCCATTTAAATTTTGATAAACATGCCCAGGCCTGATCACCAGTTCGAAGGATATAACGTGTACGATGAGGCGCACATACGACTGGTAAAAGTAGACACCAGGCCACGTGGACGTGGGCGAGAGGAAGACGCCACGTTTGTTTGTTGGTCATCATGGCGTAGCACTAGTCGCACGTGGAAAAGTACGTTAGGATGTCTTTTGGCTCGTCGACGATAAGGAGACTCGATTTCGTTGACGTAAGGGGAATGGTGTCGGATCAGTCAGGGTTCGGTGAAAGAAACCTCACCAGATTTCACCTCAGCGTCCTCCTATTCGACATCTTCATTGCCCTCACGATTGGGTAAGTTCAATGCTGTGCTCTCCAGATCGCTCTCGTTGAAGTTACGTTTTTCAGCAACTGCGATTGCATTTACCCGCGTTTACCTTACTCCGTAGCATCGTGCCAGCCTTGTGCGTATTTATTGCCTACGTTGGAGGACTCTTCACCCCCACCTTCCTTGGCCTGTGAGTCTGTCTGGTATTGCTATTGAGTAGACCAAGTAGCTTCTTGAAAGTTGTGTACAGTACTGTAAAAAAAATTGTAAAGGTCGTTTCATCATTCATGCAGATGTGTAATTGTGGATAATTTACACGGGCTAGCTAACTTAACCCTATAATGCATATAGTTTCAAAATTGCAACATCCCAGTTTTGGTCTCACTGTGATCATGCCATCAGCTGGAGATGTCTAAAATGCATACTGCTACATTCATGCAATATCCCTCTACACAGAGAGGACAATTACATCTGCCTAGGGGTGATTATCCAAACTTTGAATGGCATGATAAAGCCACGGGTGCATGGCATTTGCACTTGTGATAAGTATAAGCAACTTGTGATTTTGTATAGTCAGGTGTTGAAGCAATGAAAATGTTTGAAATGTGTTGTATTTAGGTAATTTCCCCAGTGAATTGCAGTTGCTCCATTAAAATGACATATTAGAGGTATATAGCAATGCTTTTTGACATATTATCATATCTCAGAAAAACGTGTTTGTAGATATAATGCAGAAAATCAGTGTACATAATTATACAACAGTTATAATAAATTGTTGCAGTCTGTTCAATGGCATTTTGGCATATAGGGAAGTGGCATATTATTATAATTAGGACATGCTGGAGATCAGTGACAGGTCGCTATAAGTTTCTTGGATGTCTAGGTATCACCACAGTGAAGTACCAAAGGTGTGTGTCTTATTTAAAAACAAAACTACTTTGCTACTTCCACAAGAACTAAAAGTTTCTTCATCCAGCTTGTAAAGCTTTCATCCCATATTTTTCACATACCAATACTTATTTGCATTTTTTTCCCTCACCAGTACCATTAGGCAGATTGCAGATTTGAAGTCAAAATGTTTGTTGAAAGTGAAGGAATAGAGTAAATGCTTGAAAAGTAAATATCCAGTTGTTTCTTTTTGAGTGTATTTGTATTACATGTGGTAATGCCAATGCAACAAAAAAATTGCAACAATTGCATGGTGTTACATTTTTGCAAAATATATCAATTTACTACACTATTGACAAACTGAGGTATCCTCTGCATTTTTGTTTTATTGGACCCAAATGAAATGGCAAAACACTTGAATAAAAAAATTTTTAAAGCATATTTCATAATTCATGCTTTATAGGGATACTAACAAGTTGTAGACACTTAATTTTCCTTGTTATGTCATTGCAGGTTCCACAAGGAGTTGGAAGACTATATAAAATCTGTAATCTGGAGACCAAAGGAAAAGAAAAAAGAAGAAACAAAAGGAGAACCACATCACATGGGCAAAGATGAGAAACTTTCCACTCAAATTCATGGAGAAGAACCATTCCACCCAATGCAGCCATGGGCTGGCTTGAAGCTTCCAGTGGAAGTGGATAATGCCCTCCAGGAGGTGAGACCATTCATCTACAAAGTATGTGAAACAATTTGAATAGATTACAATTGCTTTGGTTAGAAGTCATTGATAGGTTTCATTTTTTCCTTTTTTTACTATCTAAACTAATGTGGAAGTTCACCAGCATACCATTATTACTGAGAAAATATTTGCCACTAATGAAGTGCAGCGCTTCAACATTGCCCTCTCCATTGCTTGAGTACTTGTATGGGGGGAGGAGATATCACTAGGACCAGTGAGATGGGGAAACTTCCTTAGTGGACCACTAGTAGATTGGTGCAAAAGATATGTCTCATGGAGGTTCTTCATGATTTGATTGTAGTGGTAGAAGTTTTAGCTAAGAGGGTTGAGGTGTTTTGCGAAATGTTAATGTAAATATATATTGATTGTACTCTTTTTTGCAAACTGGAGCAACTTGTCACACCCTTTCCAGGACCCAGCTTCTGCTGGCATTAGTTGCTTTGCCAAACAGTGATGCCACAGTCTTTATATGCTTTCAAGGCAGGCACAATGTACTCTATGCATTGTTTTATTTGTGCCTGCTACACTTTATTCAAGTGAAACCAGTTTGTGGAGTCTGGTTATTTTCCTACTCTTTCAATGTCAAAGACCAAAGAGTGAGTAAGCTTTTGGGAATAATTGATCAGTTGGGGTTAAAAAAGGTAATGGCCTTCTTGACCCAACTGACCCATCATGCTCCAAAGTATGTTGGCTTTCTCATTCCTTGAGCCTGAATGTGTTCAAGGGATGCTGCTCACTTTGTGTTTTCTCGGCTAAAATCTACATCACTGCAATCTAGTCATCAAGAGGTACATCTCTTACATACATGCAATTTTTTGTACCCAAGGGAAATTACCATCCCAGATTCATCAGAAAGTGAGTGTGACATTTAGTACTGACTGGTAGTTGTGCCATCAAGTACATAAATCATGGGGACAGTTTTGAATGGCCAAACAAATGTTTACAATAATCCACATCCTGGTCAGGCTGAACATGCTTTGGACTCTTGTCAGACTCATCATATCCAGGAATTAATCAAAGGATTGTTATGTTACTTTTCATTTTCTGGCTTCCTCTCTGATTCATTATACTGCACTCATTTTCAGATGAATCTGGGATGGTCATTTTCCTTGAGATTGCAACATCTTAATACAAAGACCTGAATTTCAAATACACTAATCATAAGCTCAAATGCCATATCATTCATGCAACTGCATGGTAACATACAATGAAATCTTATCTATAAATACATGTGTCTGAAGGGCTCATACAACCATTATAACCTTTTCAGTTGAACCTTCCTCAAACCTTGGCTTTGTTTCACTTGCTAGTCATACCAGTTATAGCATGGAATTATGCCACATTTTGGGAGTTAAGTGACACAAGACATTTCTCATTCTTGCTCAAATACGAGGGGCATGAGAAAAGTTCTCGGCCTGACAATGAGAGACTGAGTGAATATGAACATCATTCCACTATTTTTCAACATAATCTCCTTTAGCATCATTGCACTTCATCCAACATTTCTCAAGCAACTGCAGGCCCGTTTTAAAAAATTTTTCTGGAAAGCCTGCTAAAACTCCTTCAACAGCACATTTGACTGCATCATCTGACCCTTGGACCTTTCCATGCAAATGTTTTTTCATATTTGGAAAGAGATGAAAGTCTGAGGGGGCCAGCATTTACCAGGAAATCTACTGAAAGCACCCTGGTTGCGTCCCAAAAAACACTCACCATGATCTTTCTAACAGACCGTGTTGTCTTGAATTTTCGAGATGGGGGAGAATCACTGTGTCTCCACTGTATAGATTGTTGTTTGCTCTCGGGGTCAAAATGTGGAACCCAAGTTTCATCCTGTGTCACCAAGCGCCCCAATAAATCTTCCGGATTGGTTCTGAATTGCTCCACAAGTGTCTCTGATATCATCACTCTTCCTGCTTTCTGTTCTGGAGTGAGCATTCGGGGAACTCAACGTGCAGAGACCTTGTGCAGGCGTAGATGCTGGTGCAAAATTGTTTCCACACTGTCAGTGCTGATCCCGACTGTCAGTCTTCTGTTGCTCATCACCAGCTTTTCCACGCTCTCAATTGTTTCCTTGGTCACAGCAGTGTTTGGTCTCCCGGAACGAGGATCATCTTCAAGGCTTTTGTTCCCATTCTTAAAAAGAGCTGCCCATTTTTTTACTGTTGAATGTGACGGACCTTTATCACCTAAAGTACTGTGCATGTCTGCAAAAATTTCCTTTGGCCTTAGCCCTTTTAAAACAAAATACTTGATCACTGCTCGCTGCTCAAAATCACCCATCTTTCCTGTTGGAACACACTCATCACACTTCACTGCACTGCACAGGCCTAAGATGAGCAATGACAACTGTTGATAGGCTTAGACATTTTTACACGGGGATCAATGAAGTGGAATAACATGAACAGATTAGAGTTTATGAACTCACTCTGTGTCAGGCCGAGAACTTTTCTCACGCCCCTCGTAGTGAGATCACTTGGACAACACTGCACATGAAATAAAGGTAAGAAGAAGGATGGGTTTAGGAAAGTCTTGTATTTCACTTAATGAATGTCTCAAAATTCCATTATATGCTGGCATTTAAGTTGAACTGTTTGTGCTTAGGAAAAGGGGTGTTTTGCAGAATAAACTTCATTGGTGAATGGTTTTAAAGTGGTCATGCCTCAGTTGCATGCTTTTTTTTTTTTTTTACATGCATGAGAGAAGTAAATTCTTTCACTGACCTTTGGCTCTCTGTGTCTCTGTATTTCTTCAGTTACTGTCACTGGTCCTGTCCCAATACATTTACAATTGGTATTCAGACTTGTCAGATGACAAGGCATTTGTCCATGAACTTCAAGTGGGTTTTCGTCATGTCCTTGCCAACCTCTATCGAAGAGCAAGAAAGGTCAGTTGGCATTTCTTTGACCTTTCTGCTTTGGGATGTTCTGCCAATGAATGGATTGTGGTTGAATGAACAGGTGGATGTGTGCAAGTTGATCCTGGAGAAATTGATTCCAACAGGGATGATGCATCTAGACTGTTATTTGCATGGAAGGAGCTGCAGTGAGCAGGAGAGAAACGTGGAGCAGGCTACACTTGATTATTATGGATCTCATCTTCATGTTGCCCTCAAGCATGGGAATGAAAGGAAGTATTTGCAGGCCTTGTCTAAGGAGGTCTCTCAATATCTTCTTTCCAGTGCTGAGTTGAAGTGCAGGCATGGCTTCTCTATTTTCATCTTTGGATATGTCAGCACTCAATCAATGTGCTGATCGATGCTCTTTCTTTTTAGAGCTCTGAAGCCCCTGTGTTGCGAGATATTGAGCGAAACCATCCTCTTCCCATCATTGAATGCACTTGCAGATCCAGATGTTGTCAATTCCCTGCTGGTCCTCCTGTTTTCCCCATCAGTACCTGATCCTCCAGAATCGATGAATCAGCCATGGGTGAATTTCTTGGAGAACTTTGTATCAAAATATGCAGATGCCATCCCACCTGTGAGTTCATGTTTTGCTTGTGTCTATATTTTAAAATGGTCCTTCGGCAAAACTGGTTTAATAAGAGAATGATTAAATAACAATTCATTGTAGGAACATTTTACCTTTCTTTTCTGGTTGGAAAGAAATTAATGTAAGTGGTTTATGGCTTTCAGAATTCACTATGATATATAAACGATTCATTCTCATTCTGTTTATACTGCATAATAAGGATGACTGTTGTAATAAAAATTTAGAAGTAAATCCTGGAGAAATAGAAGTAATTGTAATTTGAAGAGAGATCAGTAAGAAAATGCCTTATCAATCATGTATAAATATAAATAAAATTTCTATAGCCTACTTTGGATACATATAGTGTGTAGTCTATCAGATGAAATTGATGTATGATTAATCCTTCTAATGCTGTGTGGCCCATTTTTTGGCCATGTGTACCCCTGCTAAAGATGCCAAAGGTGGATTTTTTGGCCACAGTTTTTCATCAGGTTTCTTCTGTCATGTAGTTGGGGTTCTTATTGTTAGATGACATAAAAATAGGTCTACAGCATTTTTTGAAGAGGTAGAAGTGGCTGAAGAATCAGCTGCATTGCACCCTAAGGGTTAATAATTTATTCTCATGAATGGCTCAGTTTGATTTTGAATGCCACATACATTGATACTGTAACCAAAGTAATTATACATTTTTTCCTTGAATTTGCTGGCATAATTCCACATATTTCCTGTTCTGTTTTGTATGCAAGATAATTTTTTTCCTTTCTCTTTCTGTTTTCATTTTTCACCAGCCACTGACACTGAAAGATGTGAGGAATAATCCAACTTTCCTCCAATACTTCTGGGATTTTCTCAAGGATGAGAAGGCCAATAATCTGATGCAGTTTCTCCTTGATGTTGGTGAGGATTGCCTCTGTTTTATGAATTTCCCTGTCTTCTTCACTTTCCATATGAGCTCTTTTGATTATTTAGAGGAGTTGAATCAGAGGTTGCTGAACCCAGACCTAGATGCCAAGGGTCAGCAACAACTCCATGTGGAAGCTAAGAGTCTATTCCACACATATTTTGTACCTGGTGGAGATGATTACATCTGCTTTGCCTCTGAAGTCCAAAAGGAGATCCAGTCCAGTGAGCTGTTATCATTTTTCCCTCCTTCCCTGATATGAATCCTTGTATACTTGCTGAAATTCAGGCTCTTTCTAAATGCTTGTGGGAGCATTCATGAATAAATTCTGACTCCTTACCTTGAAGTAATGTAGGAACTTCAAAGACAGGCCAATCTTCTCCACTTGACATTGGCTATGTATCTGGGATAGAAAATGTCTAGATTCGGCTATTGAATCACTGATATGCGAATCCCTCATAGGCAGGGTGACTCAGAATAGGATGAAGTGGTATGTGCAACTGTAGGCCTTCATCCAGTAGCATTCAGAAATAGCTAGTGATGGTGATGAAAGGTGGGATGGCCAAAGAAAGTTATGATCCTTCACTGAGGAACTGAGGGGTCTCACCCAGCTGACTGAATTATTGGATACATCTGAAGTCATGTTGTGTGATACAGGTAAATTCAGTTAGAGCTCTAGTATGAGTATGTGCATATGCCTCACATAAAAGGAACTAGTTTTAGTTATCAAACAAAATGTCTCCATGCTGTGAGCCCAAGGATTGAGACTACCTTTTATGTAATGGCTTGTTTGTTGCTGGTAATATTACTAAGCCTTAAATTGGTGTGCCTACAGTCAAGTTGCAGTAAGCTGAAGGAGACATTTGAGTGTGCCCTTGGGTAATGCATGAAGTGGCTCAATACAAAAATAGTACATACTGGGTGCAAAAATTCCACGTAGACTCCTACTCCAGCCTGTCAGATTCCAACATGGCAGCTCCTTTTATGAGGACATGATAGCTGGATTCTTTAGAATGGTGCAATTCTTCAAGGCCTGAAGCAAAGGAATCAAGAATTGCATTTTTCTCAGAGCTGTCTTTCATAATCTTCAAGAAAAATAAGTTCAACGTAGCAAAAATAAAAGCTTTAAAACATTTGTATTCTTAGATTGGCTTTGCTTCATGTGCCTGTTGAAAATGAAAAATAATAGGATAAGGGTGAAGATCTCAGATTCTAGCATTCCAAGAATGCCAATGTCATGTTCATTATCTGGAGACAATGGCCAACAGTTGTGGAGGGTCCAACTGAAGGGGTGGAGGCATTGAGAAGAGGAAACAGCCTGTTCAAAGCTTATGAACATGTATACAATCTCCTAGAAGGTGTCTACTGCCCCCTGTTTCAGCACAGCAATGTTGTGAGTCCTTAGATTCCATAGGCCTTGCAGAAATACCTAAAAGCCTTCAGAGACATTTTCCCTATATTCCTGTACCAGTCTTTCAGTTTGAAATGGGGACCTCGACTATGTGATCCAGCTGCCAAGAATATCTCCAAGTAAGTCTGTCACCTATAGAAGCATTCTGTTAGGAACTTTGAGAACTTTACCTTTTGCTTTTGTATGCAAAGGAGTGCATCCCGAAAAGGAGTTCGTGTTGGACGACGCATTGATCGTCTGAAGGGTGTGGTCCTTCCTCAGCCGAGTGAAGGTCAGGCCTTTGATCTTTATTCAGAGGTGGATTTTTCCGAAGAAGTTATCATTGTGAGTTCCAGCGACAAGCCTTTTCTTGCTGCACTGCCTTTGGGTGAGGTGCTGTTAAATGTTGCCAATAGCCAGATGATGACATCTCACTGGAAGATGAGTTACCTGATTCCATCACCACACGGGATCTCAGTGCCTGGCGGGTTTCTGTTCCCTCCGTTGATGAGAGACTGGATTTCAGTCACAAGAGTTTCTTTGTGTACATCATTGATGTACGGAGGATTGACATCAAGGATGGTTGGTCAAGTCTTCTGGAAAATTTTTCAGGGCCTTCTCATCAGAAAGGGCCTAGAAAAGTGCCTTCCATGAAAATTTGTCTTTTGTTTTACAGGAGAGTCAGAGGAGGAGATGCGTTGGCAGGTGGAGAGACGATATGAGGAATTCTATGTCCTTGAGGCCAAGCTCACTGAATTCCATGGAGAATTCTCTGATCTAAGACTTCCACCTAAATCCACCCTCTTTGGGAGCAGGGGTTTGGAATTGATGAAGAGTCGACGTGCTGTTAGTGTTGCATGTCTTTGGTTTTGTTTCACCACCTGCCCACACCATATATTGCATAAGGCATTGATTTTTGCTGATTTTATGTAGGTGCTAGAGGAATACCTGCAGAAGCTGCTGCAAAAACCAAATCTACGAGGGAGTGAATTGATCTTCTCTTTCCTCACATCGCAGTATCCCTTCACTAGTAGCTTCCTGCCAGATCTAAACCTGGGTCGGATGTTTCGTAGTGTCCCCATTCGACTGAGGAAGGAACGAGGACAAAATCTAGAACCCTTCTTGGCCTCCTTCATTGCTTCAACTGAGCCCCCGAAACCCAAACCAAGGTCTGTAATATTTACTAGAGGTTTTTATTAATTAACACTCCTGTGTTCTTATTTTTGCTGTTTTTGTGATTTTGATGAATGTTCTTGTGATTGTCTGCATTTCAGCAAGTTGGACATGGGGGAAATGATATATGAGGAATCAGGGGAGACACGTGGAGAACTGAGAGCAAAGGGTTCTGTAGGAAGAACCAGTGAGGAAAGCAGGTCTCTCTATCCCATGTCTCTGAATGGCATCTATGACATCATAGTTTTCCTTGGTGAGGACAGAATTTACATTCATGTTTGCCTCCAAAGTATTATGCCCTTGCTTATTTGTTTGTATTGTAGGTGTACGGGTTTTTGCCTTCTCAAGTTGGCTGCTTCAGATCCTCCTCTTTCTCCGATCTTTTGTGCATGAAGCTTTTAATGCCTGGGCTGAAAGGCTTTTAAGAAAGAAATTGGAAGAGTCTCTTACTCCACACAAGATTTCCCTGGTCATCCATTTTATCAGAGGTGAGTAATGACTGTATTGCATTTGCATTTCCTAGCCCTGACTGCCTGCAAAGTGATCAGTCTTTTTGATGAGAATTTTATGTCATGCAGACACTGTGTTTTTTGAGGGTTCTCAGTCCCGTACGGACATAGAGAAACTTGCAAGGTCAGGTGATGCCTTGAGAGGAATGAGAGAAATATTCCCTCCCTGGCTGAAAAAACAAATTGGCATTGATCACCTTGACAGTGGTACAAAGCTCATCTTCAGTGTCCTTCAGCATCCCCGGCTCAACAAACAAGTAAGTGTCACTCCTCTTTTGGTATTTCATGAAGTAACTGAAGAGGAATGAAGGGTGATGTTCTCTATAGCTGTCATATGTGCTCCTGGATATCCTGTCTGTTGAGCTGTTTCCTGAGATCAAGATGGATGAAAGCAAGTCCTGATTATACCATGTAACTCTATTCACCTGGCATTCCTAAGAAATTTACCCTGTGATATTGACAACATCCAAAGGCTAATGGCATTCTTAGAAGATGCCTGCATTATGTATTCTGTGCTAGACATGAAATGAGATTATAGAATAAATTTGCTTGAAAAGTCAAGCATTGCTCCCTTGTTTTAGATCAGATTCCATAGTTGTGGTTTTTTTTATGAAGAGAGCTAACCTTATTTGATGTCAATGTTGAAGAGACCCACATTGAGCAAATGAAAGTTTCTTGCTTCCCTCACCCATTTGGCATTCTGCTTGACATGGAATCAGCATGAACAGTTGAGTCATCTAATAACCTCCACATGAATTCAGATTTTTTTAATTCCAAAGAAACTACCTAACTGATTGTGGAGAATGGAGGGAATGATTGAGGTATGTCAATGAGGGATGAACTTACTTATCATTGATCTTTTGCTGCACCCAAATAATCCTACAAAATTTGAGACATTTTTTCTTAAGATAAACTACAATAGTTTTTTGTAGATCAGTAAATGCAAAAGTTGCTCTCATGCATTCCTCTGTGTTTCACCTAATGCTGTTCTTGGGTGAGACACTGCTGAAATTTGAGAATGTTACAGTGTTTTTACATTTATGAGTACTTAAGAACTACCTAGTGCTAAAGAAAAACTCATGCAATCTCCAATATCAGAGATTTAAACTGTCATCCAACAGTAATATTGGATATACCTGTGGAGAACTAGAAAGGAGTTCAACATATTGTGCATATAAAGAATGGCAATGACTGCAACAGAAAATTCCACTCCATTGTGTTTTAGTCTATGTTTCTCGTTAATGTTCATGGCCAAACCTCTGAATATTAAAGTGAAATCTTGCCTGTGTATTCCTTAGCATCTGAGGATTTAGCCTTTACAGTCACAAAAGTTTCTCTGAGAATCTTTTTCCTTTTCTTCAAAACAATGACTTTGTACTGAGATCTTTTTATTTTGATGAGTAATTATTAAAGGCATATCATAGCTACTGTATCACTTTGAAAACAAAAATGTGCCATCTTAATAAGACAAAACTTCCTATTTTATTGTAGTTCCCTGCCTTTACAATTTTTTTTAGCCCATCTTATACCATACCATGATGTAGGTTTCTGCACTGTACACAGTGGCACTCATGCACTTGAACAGCTGAATCTTGAGCGATTAAAATTTGTCAACATTATTTTGCTGGTGAGCTTTCTACATGTTAATTTTCCGCCTTCTTTCTGAAAAAATGATTAGACTATGATAGTGTAAGACGCTTATATAGCAGAGTTTCGTCCAGAATCATCGTCTGCTTTAATATTGGACACCATGCATTAATATTTTGGGAAATAATTGGTTTGTAATAATTTTAAAAGAATCTCACATTCTTTTCTAAGAAAGCTTATCACCTTCGTCCATTATGGTTTTAAGAATGACTAATTCCTTGCCTCAGTCTAAAAACCAAAACATTGGACGTAGCCTAAGTCTTGGTGGCTTTTCGTAATAGTGGGCAAACATAACTGCAGGGTCGCCCAAAGGTTTCCAGAGGCCCGGAGCAAAACTAAATCGGAGGCCCCTTGGGGGCCCCCTTGGGTCCCTTGATACGCGGGCCCGGGGCAGATTGTACCCGATGCCCCCCTTCCCCCTCTGGGCGGCCCTGCAACCATGAAATAAATAGTCCGAGTGCGGGTGCGTGATGCATTGCCTAGGGAAGACACATCCAAAAACGGCGCTGAGAGCGCGAAACCTCGCTCCTATCTTCATAAAACATAGGCTCTTTTCTGACCTTATGATTGATTATGGTGAAACAAATCGTAATTGATGAGAAAACATTTGTCCCTATACTTGACTATACTTGGAAATGGAAAAAAATTGAAAATAATAGAACTTTTTTGGGCGACCCTGTAGTAATTTGCCAGCCATTGACACCTGCAATTAGCATTTTACAACAGTTACCGTTACTACGAATGGAAGGAAAACCACCAACATCGCTCATATTGAAAACTCTCCGTACAATTCCGATTCTATCTCTTACATAAAAAAAAAAAACAGAAAACAGGACGGTGACGTCATGCTGTCGAGCTACATGCGTTATTCCGTCCCCATTTCATTTCCATTCGATATATCCCGCAAACATTAGATTAAAATTTGTTGTTGTCTAATTTGGTGACGCGGAATTCATGTTGCCTTTTCGTTCCATCTCCAAAAAATTTTGCATCAGTAAAAATCAAAACTGAGTAAACTACGTAATTAAGCTCTCTGCGATGAAGAGTCATGCATCATTTAGTAGCCCATGCCTCCTATCAGGAAATATTATGTGATTTCATTAACCCATTTTTGGGAACGTGGCAAAAGTTGTCAATTATTTTAAGTTAATCGTGAAAACTCGTATAAATGCCTAATCGGCACCATTATATGCATGAATGCATGTAGTTTCAGCAAATATAATTTATTTAAGAAATAATTCGAATTTAAATGATATAACTCATCAAAAACCTTCAATATCTGCAATTTGAAAGTTTTGAAACAACTGAGCATGCTCGGTACTGTACAAATTTAAATTATACCCTTCCGAACAACTGCATATTTATTTCAGTTCTGTGCAGGTTAATTTTGGATTTGAAATGCTTTGAAAAATGGGGAAAAGAATGAGAGCCGAGCCGTTGATCGAGCTTCTTTCTGTCAGCTCTTCACTCTTGTGAACTTATTTTCGCTGCACTATTGGAGATATAAAGGTAAATAAGATACCACTTGAATCTTCTTCTTTCGTATGGGTATAGCAACTATTAGAAATTGATGTTAATCTTTGAAATCCAGTCGATAGTTTTTAGTGATGCTGCGTGTATATCCTTGATGCTGCCGGGAAATGAGTACAATAGGCACTCGTTGATGATGTGCTCCATAGTTTGGATTGGAGTGCCGCATTCGCACGTTGGCGATTGCTTGATACGCCACTTGTGCATCATGTGTCCGGAACGACCATGAAGAGTCCGGATGCGATTTAAGGTCACCCATTCGCGGCGTGGGAGTGTGACACCTGGTACCTCAGCTGATGGATCGTCGATTGTTGGGGCACATCTAACAAGGTTGCTCAATTTCAAGAGGAGACCATCCCTCCAGACAGTATCGTAGGCCGCTGTGAGGTCTATAAATGCAGCGGCGGTCTTTCTCTTGTGTTGGTACCCGGCCTCGACGTGTGACGTAAGTGCTAACACTTGATCACAACAACTGCGGCTGGGTCTGAAACCAGCCTGCTCCGGAGGGATTGCGCTCTCCATGATGGGGGCCAGCCGGGTTAGCATCGCCCGCTTGAATAGGAGTATCACATATATTTGTCAAAAATAAATAGAAGATTATGACCTGACAAATTATTTTCAAAAGAAGGCTGCCTGATTTGAAACGTACTTATGAACCACTCAATTTGCCCAGATAGGAGCTGTGAATCTATCCAGACTGTGGGTAGATTTTCCATATTCCTGACATCCATGTGATACTATTTCTTTTCATTCACCTTGAAAAGCTGATGCTACAGTAGAAATGGTAAAACCGATCAATTCGATTTACTCGTGAGTTGTTATAAAAACAACATTGAAAATGTTAGACATTCTCAAAGTTCAGATATTCTGACATGGGAAATATGGGAAATAGAGTACGGCTTCCGCCATCTTCGAGTGCTTAGTCCTCAATTCTTTACCTTTTCATTTCGTCTCGCTCAAAGAATAGTTGACTCATGCCTATTGTGCATGTGGTTTGATGGAGTAGAAGTTATTCATTTAATGAATATTGTATTTTTTTTATTATTATCTGGGAAATGATTACCTTCTAAGGGTCGTTGCATTATTTTAATTAAAAAGAGACAATAGTATCAGAAAGGCCACAAAGAACAAGAAAAATGATGTATAAGGAAATTTCCTCGCTGAAGGTTACTCGTCAATTTCTCTCCTTGATTGCACTTAATTGCATCACGTCGCAGCACGATGAGCTTTGCTACTGTGAAAAGTGATTCTCCATTAAGAAACGAAAGCGAAAGCCGCACCTAATGGGGTGCCACTCGATGAGAAGCACTGCCGGTCATTTGGTCACCTTTTCTCCCGGATTTAATTGCATTGTATTCATGGAGAATATGTTCAATATATACATGTATTTTCATGGAAAGAAATACCTGTTTCTCGGTCCTCTCGCGCAATAAGAATCGATATATTACGTAACATGATTCCATTCCTGCGAGTCGACCTTGGTCGAATGATGGTATCGGGCAAAGAGATGAACTAAGCCTTTTAGTTCCTATGAAAGGGGCCCAAGTAATTTTTTTAATACACATTATCGTGATTAAAGGAAACATACTCCAGTCAATCTGATATTGAAACAGCAGGAAGGACAAAGACAGCAAGGACACACTCCCAGACTAGATTTAATCTTGGGGAATTTCTTCTGCATATCCTGGTCTGACTCGGCGTCAGAAAAGAAGGAACTTGGGTCCGAGTCCACCCTGTTTAACTAGAAACTAGGACATTGGATGAGTGTGAATGACCTCATGATCTCCGAGGCGAAATACCCTGTGAACCTCCCAGTGTGAATGAACCTTTGCTCAATTGAGGAACCCCATGGAAGTCCCACATATTGCCTCAGTTATTATTATTTTGCATTTCATAAGAATGGTGTGGCCACTTGGGATGGATCGGAACCTTTAGTAGATTGACGAATATAGATACGAACTTTTGCACTTTCGCGAAAAAGCGAAATTAAATAATATTCTTACGTACTACGTAAAAAGTATCGTACGGGTATCTTGCGAAAAAATGTTTCATGAATATCAGTAACAAATTTCGTGGCAGCAGAGTTGATGAATATCAGTTGCGAACTTTTCTCTTCTTACGAAGGAAAACTTATGAAATGTTCGAGTAATAATGTTTCGTGAATGAGGCTCCTGAGCTGTGCGGATCAAACCTGCGCCTCTAAGTTTCATCTCGCCTCCTTTCTGATGAAGATCCTGGGAGACTTGCCATTTTCATGAATACGCGGGTTATACCGTTTCTGGCACCTTCCAGGCAGCAATAATTTAATATCAGCCTTCGCCGAAATCTTTCCCAGCAAGAAAGACTTTCGAATCGAAGCCAGGCATCGGGCATCCTACCGGAGTTTCCTATTCCTTTACGAGGAAACTTACAGAAAACCTGGTTGACAGTTTACGCATTTCTGGTCTGAGAGTGTTCATGACCAGCCTTGGCCTGATGGCATCAACAATGAACCCTTCGTTTAGAGAATGGGTAAATGCATATCTTCTCGATAATTCACTGGTAAACAACCAAAGCTCAGTTTCAGGCAGTTGCAAATGTGTCTGCTGCACCTCTCACTGGCATGAAAACGCACGGATGGATTCGGTCGAAGCGGACGACCAAGAACGCCGGCAGACACCGTTCATGCCGTACGGAATGCTTTTGAGTGCAGTCCGAGAAAATCTGTCCAGTGTGCGTCAATGGAACTAGTTGTGCCAAAAACCACCGCCTCCTCGATTGTTTTCACAAGGCTGGTTCCAAGAACACTTCCACTGACGAATGCCAGTTTCTTCAATGCATTCTATATGTCATGAATGGCTTCTGTCGACGTTCTTGGTCGTCCGCTCCGACTCTCGTCTTCCGAGTTCCTCGTACTTATTAAATTTTTATACAAATTCTTTGATCGCTTTATCAGTTGGAACTCCATGTCCAAACCGACGCTGGAAACGTGCATGGATCTCCTAAGGAGTTATCCCGAGTGAGGAGAGTTATCCAGGTGACAAATTTGATTTTCTCCATCAGTGACTATGTGGCCACTTTTGTAAACTGATTGGCTTCCCACTATTGAGGTCCATCATTTTAATCTAAACATTGAAACATTTTTGCTATATCACAAAAATAGATCGAGACTTTTGGGACACCCTATATTTGACTTTTCCATGCTTTGGCACGGATTTCCAGTTATGCAGTTTTTCACTGAGTCTACCGTAGGTTATTGCAGCAGTTCCCAACATTTTCCCCAGTGTGACCCCATTCAGACAGCTGCAAATTATTGCCACCCAAACATGCACAGACAAGATCATTAGCCTGTCAAAAATGTGGCATTATAACGAATGTTAATAAAATTACCCTTCACATAGCATAATAAAAATCAGCCTGCCAAGCAGCTTCATGGCCCCAAGGTTGGGAACTGCTGGGTAATTGACAGGCCTGTGCCTCCTTCAATGGTGATGATTCATTGAGTGATATCCATGATATTCAATTTCTTCTTCATGCTTACACAGCAACTATTCCTCTAGTGATATCAAGGGAAGAATGCTGAAATATTTGTTGGCCTTTAATGGTGTCCCTATTGTATTAGTTTATATATTAAGGGTTCACAAGTAAAACTCAGCAACATTGGTAGAGTTGATCACAGACAGGTTTTACAATGCAAACATTGGTCCATATCATTATGTAACACCACACAACATCTTATTGAAGATACATTTGGAATCAAACAAGCACATTTACATTGGGCCTCTTTTGCAGAAAGTCCACAACTTCATCTGGAGAAATGCTGGTTTCCCGGACATCCAGTTCAGTTAAGGAAGCAGGAGCAGATTTGGCTAACTGGGTGAGAGAATCTTTGGTGACCTTAGCACACCCTTTCAGGTGAAGTTTCCTCAAATTGGGAACATTGTCCTCTCGAATCCCAAATGATCCCCGATCACTGACTCCCTGTAAATCACAGGCAAAGAGGGACTCCAAGAGCTTGCGATTGCTGACAAAGCCATGCAATTCCATGTCACTGGAGCTTGTTCCTGAGATGTCCAGATGGCGAAGGTTGGGGAACCCAAATCGACACGACAAGGCAACGTATGCAAACGTGTTGCCAAATTGATGACAATTTTTGAGGTTCAATTCTTGGAGATTCTCCACCTTGGAAAGGGCCATGAGACTATGTGTATTAAACCAACCACATCCACTTAAGTCCAGGGATCTCAAGTTCACCATGTGGGTACTTATACAAGAAAACCAAGATGACTGAGATGGGAGTTTCACAAATTCTGAGTTCTTGAAGCTGAACTGGGAAATGGTCTTAGGAAAGTTTTCGATGCCGATTCGATCTGCATATACAAAACACTCTTGAAGGGTCAGTGAGCTCAAATTAGGGCACTTCTTGGTAATACTTTGGAGCAATGCAGGAGATATATTCTCCTTGAATTGAGACTGCTTCAGGGAACCCTTGATTTTAAGACTAATCGTGTCTCTGCAAAGACCCAATCGGACAATTTCATGCAGTTCCTTCAATGATACTGGTTGAGATGTACAGTCAACATCTCTCCATAAGGTGTGGTCCTTGGCAATTCTGTTGAACCTCTGGCAAACCCTGCAAAGAAAGATGCAATTATTTGTTTGTTGCATTAAAAAAATCTGAACATGGATTCTATAGTTGTCTCACTTGTTTGCATGGGAGTGTATACACACTCAACAGATCTGTGAATAACTTACACCTACTTCTAAAGTGGTCTCAGCCTAAATATGGCGAAAACTCACACTGCAATGAATCAAATCAAAGACTCTATATAGGTTCTTTCAACAAATTTCAAAAACTTCCAAGAATTCAGGTGACTTACTTGGACAGAGCAAGCAGATCCAAAGCAGATAGTTCAGAGAACACCATCAGGATCACATCATCTGATAAACTCAGGAAGTTCCTCTGCTGATATAATGCCATGTTTCCCTTCAGAACGTAAAAATACGTTGAAGGTTCATAGTTTTATGCTCACCTGATGTGAATAAAAATTATAATGCAACAAAGTTAGACCAAGCCTGGGCCATGAAGGCCTGGTAGCATATTATAAGCTTCAAAACTAATAGCTTATCATAACCTATCCAAATTCAAACAAAAGTGTGCATAGATATTTCCATACTCACACACCATGAAATCCTTAATATACAAAGGAAATAGACAAATACTTCCAATTAATATAAGAGCATTTAGTTGCTAGGAAGAAAAATTAGGAAGCAGAAAACACAAGAGCAGATTCATTGATGGTAGGTTGTAGGTAGGTTTGAAGTGGAATAACTATTTTTTAGGCAATATGTACAAATCATAACGTTTGACAACTGGAGGGAAAAATATGCCTGGAGGCGGAGGATAAAAGCCTGGCAGAATGCTCCGGCAAGAGAAAAAAAATTGTTGACAGATATCACTGACCCCACCACCATCCTCAATCCATCATACGGATTGCTGGCGCGGAAGGTCAGTCCTAGACTAACGGGATTGGTCTCATTTCGTCAGTAAAAATAAAGAACCGAGGAAACCATAAAATACATCGTAAGCAGGATCGAGAATCAACTACGAATCATGCTATTTTGCAGATCAAGACAACCGCGTCCACACCCAAAGCAGGATCGATTATGGATTGCTTAGATACTATCCTCTGAAACCAAGCACATCCCTATAGACCCACCCTACTTTGGTGTAGGCAGCCATGACTGATTCGAATACCTTTTAACTAAAGAAAAAAATAGTGTTGAGGCTGCCAAGGAAGACACGACTACCGCAAAAAGATGAAATGATATATAGCAGGTAACGAACATCAATTTTCCGATTTTTTAATCTTCATTTTCAGAACCTTTCTTGATGATGGGGAAGAAATGAGAAATTAAAGCATAAAAACTTTTAAATTTGAGGTCAAGAAGCACATAATATACCATGTCAAATAACGAGGTGCCGGCAACCCTGTCAAGTCGTATCAGATATGTCTGCCTCCTTGGTCCCATAGAATAGAAACCTTATGCCCCCTTTTTGACTTTTAAATTTGTACGGAGTAATGCTTCGTCCAGAAGCTAACAAAAGCAGCTAGAACAAGCAGCCAAACATCAGTATTGAGATAAGATCGCTCATTCTTCAGGTGGACAATGAATTTTAGTTTAGTGCAGTATTTCGACGATCACGAGGGCCACAAGTGCGGTTATTGTGGCTCAAAAGATGCAAATTTCAGCAAAGGTAAGTCCAGGATTTTTGTTTCGTAAGGTTCTTGTTTTTTTTTTTATAGCGAGAGACTTTGCAAAAATTGATGGGTGAATGTAGTCAATGAATATCGATCATTTGGACTGACTTCAGGGCATGGAGTTCCTTAGCTTTTAATGATCTGGAGGCTTATTCTGCAATTTAGCTCTCTTTTTAGCACTTTCAAGTCGCAATCCATTGTGAAAACCCTGATCATCACTGCCTTCCTGCAAAGAAATGTCACATGTGCTCTTCGAGTCATGTGAAGCTTGTGTGTAATCATACAATTCAATGAAGATTTTGCTGAGTGAGAGAAGGATTGATGGTGATGGAAAATGGAACAAAAGTCAGAGGGGGTGCTTTGAAATCATAGATACAAAGGAAATCAAAATCAAAATCATTCTCCTACATGTGCTCTAGTTAGTGTATACAGGTACAAAATGCATAATATGGTGACTTGAGGGAATATGGCCCATCACAAGGTATCCTCTAGCTAACTGAAGAATAAGTTTGTGCAAATTTTAAATATAGTTGTATTGAAGAGTGTATGCAATAGCCAAGAATGTATGACTCATTCATTAATCTAATGCTTGCAGGAATTCGGGATAAAATGATGTTTTGAATGTTTTACGCATGCAATCCCTCAATTCGTAACCCTGAAACTAATATGAGTCTTGAGCAACTCAAGTGTATATTTCCTAATAGCAGCATGGATACCAAAACCATTTTTTCAAGTTATTTTATGGTCCCTCCAGAATGCTTATGGAAAGTGTCTGCTCCTTCACTTGCGGTTTGTAGGCAGTGCATCTTATACACATGTTCTGTATATAGCTGCGGATGTACTGAGATGCACTAGAAATCGGCATGAAATATGGAATATGTGCAATACCTCCTGGACATCAGTTGAATGTACTCCAGAAATTTTTGTTGTTCAAAGTTTGAATGTAGGTAAACATTCCTCATGCAAAAATTTAAAATGTCATCTTGTAATAATAAAAAAGTTTTTGGCATACATGGTAAAAGCTATGCAACATTTTTCCTGTATTATGGGACCACTTAGTTTGCACTCATAGCACATGTTCATTTTGACCCATGGATGATCACTCCTCTTACACCCAGTTTCTAGATATGGTCTCCCAGTCTTGTGCAATATGACTCATAGTAAAAAATGTTGCAGTCCTGTATTTCATAGCAGCTCCTGGAAGCAGGTAATGATGTTGACTTCTCTACTTGTCCTCAATGCAGTCAATAATGTAATTTTCAACTGCTTGGTCACATTTGCTTGTTTCAAGGTACTCAGCATGTATATTTCAAACAGACCTTAAAAACCATAGGTTTTTTAAATTTAGAAGTGGTTATATTATTGTAAATGCCTGACCATTTTTCCCCAACAAGAAGGGTAATTGGCCTCTTGGAACCAACTTGGAAAGGATCCAAGTGTACAATATCCATGTGTTTTTTTGCATATGCCTTTCTGGGATTGAGTGAAGGAGATATTACGTATTTAAAAATATTGGCAAAGTCAAGTTTGACCTTGATGGACTGTTAAGACCAAGTTTCACCTTTTAGGCAATATTTCCCCAAAGTATGCCTTGTATTTTTATATGCAATTATAGTAATTCCTTTTTTCAGGAATGTGGGCACATGACTTGACAGTGCAAGACTATCAGAGACTCATCGACAGAGGTTGGAGAAGGAGTGGAAAATATTGTTACAAGCCAACAATGAATCAAACTTGCTGCCCTCAATACACAATTAGGTGATCATACATATTGTATAGATTATATTTATCATGCTCATAGCTAAATAAAAATAATATATGTCATATGCCTTGGCCACAAGTCAGATTTGAAATAACATTCACTTGGACATGAGCTTAAGCCTACAAGCATAGCCTTGCTCTGAAGACTTTTGTCATAGATCATTTCAAGTTTTGAAGGAGAGTCTGACAATATTTTACTAGTACCTGAACAAGTCACAGATAAAAGAAGATAGAAGGGTTTTCTGTGACTGGCAGATGCCCAGCAGAGAGTCTGCAGCTATCCAAGTCTCAGAAGAAGGTGATGAAGCGTATGACAAAGTATCTGGCCACCGGGAGCACCAAAGATGATGAGCATAATCAGCAAGGAGAATCATCTTTCGATGATGACCGGAAAATGGCTGGGGAAGAAGTGCAGCAGGAGGAACATCCCATTGGTGGGTGGAATTGTATCTTACTTTTTCCTTAGAGATGGTGAGTGGACAAAATGTTTTCTCTCTTTTCTATGGATCAGAGCAATGTATGTTGTAAATGCTGATGTTGTATTCAAAACTTAGCCCTCTTAGGGTAGCAATTTCTCTATAATATGCATTTGAATATCATGATGATATGAAAAAAATAAAGAAGAAAATTATTTGGTAACTATTGATCTGTATGTTTAGCGTTGCTATTTACCTTTCAAATTCACATTCTTTTTGCACCCAAGTGAATTTTTGTCCTTTCTTTGGATTCATCTTTAAATATCCAGATAACATGGGTTATCTCCATCCTGAAAATATCTCCATGAATTTTTTTGGGCTTAAATTTATATGGAGTTCCTTAGAATAATAATAAAAATCATCCATTTTCTATGCATTGCTCTACAAAGACCTCCCATTTGTACACTTTTTCTCATGCATAGAGTTGCATCAATTCATTTGACTCCATCATAAATTATTTCAGCATTCCTTGTTTTCTTTAGTCATCTCCATGTCTTTGTTCACTCTTATAGTGTCTCTTGATACAAGGATGACCTATCAGAGGCTTCATAGGCACTGATAGGTCTGAAACTCCTGATAATATTATGTGGATGTTGATCAGGAGTGTATGCCTACTGTTGAAGGCACATAAGGGCACATGGAGTTATCTCTGCCTGTAGAGACTGACTTGGAGGCTTTGGCAAGCCACTGCTTCATGAATTACATTCTGTAAACCTTATTTGACAGCTACAATCATCGTCATACCTGGAGGAAAAGTGATTGTTAGAGTAACATAGCATGTTAGTGAAGGAGAGAAGTGTAAGCAAGAGATTGGTCCTTATTGAGTTTAGCTGAGATGTTTTTCTTCACCTGAGTAAATTGCTGGGAAATTGAATGTAATTTATTCTTTTGCTGCCGTAAATAGGATTTCAACCACCCTTCCAATTTTTCTCCAGTGAGCAACTTAAGTTTAACTTGCTAAAAGGCTCACCTGAACAAGTTAGCGATTAACCTGATGTCCTGTTTTAAACTGATATTTTGCCACTTGGTTGCATATCCTATCTAACTGGATTGGATCCTGAATATCTAATGGGGAGAGGGAGGGAGAATGAGAACTAGTATCTTGTTTGGAGAGAAAATGCAGCAAGTACAGTATATGACTGGATGGACTGTCTCTCCCTTTGAATCCTTCACAGTGAGAATTTTTTTTGACCTTGCCAAATGAGCCTGTCAGAGGATTCTTTGTATATCCTATGCAGGAAGCCCACCCCATTAGAATGGGGAGAAAAAGTAAAGCAGCAGAAAAAGTATGAAGACTTTGCAAATGAAAAACTTCTATATGTTTCTTTTGACTCTGTGGGAGCATTTACACCCAGATGTGGATGCTTCAGGTGCTCGATGTCATGGGTTACTTATGTTCCCCCTCCCCCCCCCCAAAAAAAAAAAAAATTTAATAAATATATATATATATATAATAATAATAATCAGGTACAAAAATAATCAGAATTTTGTTCTACACTTCTTCAGCATAGGAAAGAGGCAGCTATTTTCTTCCAATAATACCTGCTTGCCCATGTAAGAAAGAAAGTGAAAGATGATAATAAAAAATTAGCTGATAAGATTGCTTGGGCAAAAAGAAATTTTTGAGATGGCTAACTTTTGCAACCCTTCCCTATTATTAGAGGATGCTGATTAAGGTTATTATGACAAAGCCAAAAGGATAAGGTCTATTAAATTCCTGGTCAAGTAAGCAGAATGTTACCTGTTATTAGGGTTGCCCATCACAATCCCCAGAGTATTCACTATTTAATACTAAAGTTCCAAGCTTGAAATATCTTTCAGATGGAGATGGTAGTCTGGAGTTACTGGATGCCAAAGCTATTGAGATGGAAGAAAAATCCATAGAGAAGCCCAAATTTGTCAGTGAGATGCCTGCTGCTTTTTCCAGTGAGTCCAAGTTCATCTAATTTCATTTCTCTCATTTCTCTATCATTGTATTTTTACCTTGCTTCGAAAAATGTGTGTGGTACACTTCAAGCTGAGTAGGTCACGGAAAATAATTTTTGTTCATCTAACAGAAGGCAATTGTGTAATATTAAATTTTTTTTGCTGTTTTTGGTGCCTACTTAATTGGGGAATGTCCTTCATTATATGTCAAGCATATAATGGAAACATGAGCCTAGAGAACCTATGGAATTAATGTTTCAGTGCCTAAAGAGGAAAGAGAATCCCAAAAGAAGAGACTCGAGGGGAAAAGTAAATTTGGAGGATCGCCAAGACCAGGTGGGATTTAGCTCCATTTTCCTATGTAATTTATTCATTTTAAGGCAATATAACATAGAACTTTCATGTTTATGCATTTATTTGTCCTGAATATCATGATAAATCATGGAACTTGGTCAAGATACACTGCAGCCTTTCAATGGTAGAAATAACAGTATCACCCATGTTGGTTGCAGATACACCTAATAGAAGATCCAGTATTTTACATGGTGATGTGTTCATGTCATTTTGCCAATTGAACAGATGCTTTAAATTTTTTTATGTTCTTAAAATCAATGGTGACTAACAGATTACTCACTCATTGTTGTGATTCTACTTGAATAAATGATGAGTAATTCTCATTGTTACATCTTTGGGGAAGCTAACTGGGCAAGCTATGGCATCATGGTGTGACTGCAGGTACACTGTTACCCTTTTTAGCAACCACTCATGGAAGTCTGGCCAATGTGAATGGTCACTGGGTTTATTTCCAGAATGAGAATGGATTTAAGAGAATGAGAATGAGATTGTCCTTCTGGAGTTGTTGCACTCTTTTCCTTTTCTTAGGATCTTAATGACTTGGCTACTTCCCTCCTTCTCTTCAATAACACCAAGAAAATGGGACCAGAAAAAATTTCATCGTAATTGTGTTTGTGCAACAGCAGGTTCTCATTCTCTGTTCTTGCAGAGGACATATGAATTGAAACCAAATTCCAAATTCCAAATTGAAACCATACTGAAACCAAATTACTTAATCTTTACACTTAGAGAATAGAGGAACATGTGGATATTGGAACGGTACTTTAGTAACGATAACGTGTAAATAAACTTCATTTTCCTTGTGTTCAAGAAGACTATCGGTTCATTGGGAGAGTCTCGCCTACGCTCTAATGATGACACAGGTGTTGGACCAGATCCTTCAAAACCCCCATGCAAGAAGGCAAGGCTGAGGAGACTTGAAAGGCGGAAGAAGGATATCAAGTCCATTCTCCCCAGATCGACTAAGAATGAACATAAGACACTGGAGGATTTTATCAAGGAAACTTTGCCTGCACATCCAGTACATCACTTGAAGGTGTAGCTCCCATCCTCTTCTTAAAATTTATAACTTTTTCCATTCCCAAGGAAGTTCAGATTTTGTCTTCATGTGTTGCCAGGTGAAGTTGGTGAAGGTTGGCAGTAGAGAATTCAAGGAATCATTTGACCAGGAATATGCCGTATATCGAAGATACCAGATAGGGATTCATCGTGATCCCACATCACGTTGCACACCGAAGCAGTTCACTCGCTTCCTTGTTGACTCTCCTTTGCAGGTTAAAATCTCATTTTTAAAAGATCTCAATGCACTAAAGATGCTCTGAGGTAAGACAGTTAAGAACGGTTTCATTTGTAACAGCTGGAAGAAGGTCCTTTGGAAGGCTATGGATCATATCACATGCAGTATTGGCTTGATGGGAGCATTATTGCTGTTGGAGTACTAGATGTCCTCCCATTATGCCTCTCCTCTGTATACCTCTTTTATGATCCCAGATTTTCCTTCCTCTCATTAGGTACTTATTCATCCCTCAGGTGAGGCCATTCTTCTTCATCATTTCTCTTCTTAGCTTAGCCATTTGTCTCCATCCAAGGATCACTTTCAAAATGGCTTTTGTTTTTGATGTGCCTATTAATGTGCCTTTTGCCTCAGATTTTCCAATGACTTATTTTCCTTTGTACAATTACTTTCAAGAAAAGGTGAGCAAATTTTCCATCCAAGGATCACTTTCAAAATGGCTTTTGTTTTTGATGTGCCTTTTGATGTGCCTTTTGCCTCAGATTTTCCAATGACTTATTTTCCTTTGTACAATTACTTTCAAGAAAAGGTGAGCAAATTTCTAATGCTGACTGAAACATAGAGATCAATAGTTTTTTCAGCTCTCAAAAGGTGGTAAAACACTATCCTTTGTCTCAATGTATGCTGTATTCATAAATGTGATCATGGCAAGTTAGTAAAATACAGGTATGGAATGGACAAATGCAACTGCAACCAGTTGGATATTTAAGAGCAAATCGCCATCATGCACTCAGCAGGTTAAAGGTTTTGAGTTATTTCATCTTGATTTCTCCTAGACAAAATGACTTTTTGTTACAGTTGGAATACTGATGTTTTAGGATGATGATGGCCTATTCCTGGACCTTTTATAGACTGAGACTTGACATAAATTTGACTTTATGTCTTGACATAAATTATTTCAGAATTTAAGGGTTTTTCAGTTTGAGCTTTCATGATAGTTATATTAATACGAGAGAGATTTTATTTTGTTAGGTTACAAGCTAGAATTTGAAAATATCAAGGATTTTCTGGATAAAGAACAATCAGGATCAGGTACTCATTTCCTTTATAAATTAAAATCATGAGATTAGCTTTCTTCATGAATGCAAATAAAAATTAGAATTTCATTAATTGACTTATGTCCTNAAATGTGAATCTCTTATCTCCTTGTACACCTATAACCTTGCCATGAAATCATTGCTATTGCACATTTATTTGAAGTAAAAGGAACACAAGTTCTTCTGATAGCCAAGTAACCCTCTCAGAGCGGATGGCTCTAATGATGACACAGGTGTTGGACCAGATCCTTCAAAACCCCCATGCAAGAAGGCAAGGCTGAGGAGACTTGAAAGGCGGAAGAAGGATATCAAGTCCATTCTCCCCAGATCGACTAAGAATGAACATAAGACACTGGAGGATTTTATCAAGGAAACTTTGCCTGCACATCCAGTACATCACTTGAAGGTGTAGCTCCCATCCTCTTCTTAAAATTTATAACTTTTTCCATTCCCAAGGAAGTTCAGATTTTGTCTTCATGTGTTGCCAGGTGAAGTTGGTGAAGGTTGGCAGTAGAGAATTCAAGGAATCATTTGACCAGGAATATGCCGTATATCGAAGATACCAGATAGGGATTCATCGTGATCCCACATCACGTTGCACACCGAAGCAGTTCACTCGCTTCCTTGTTGACTCTCCTTTGCAGGTTAAAATCTCATTTTTAAAAGATCTCAATGCACTAAAGATGCTCTGAGGTAAGACAGTTAAGAACGGTTTCATTTGTAACAGCTGGAAGAAGGTCCTTTGGAAGGCTATGGATCATATCACATGCAGTATTGGCTTGATGGGAGCATTATTGCTGTTGGAGTACTAGATGTCCTCCCATTATGCCTCTCCTCTGTATACCTCTTTTATGATCCCAGATTTTCCTTCCTCTCATTAGGTACTTATTCATCCCTCAGGTGAGGCCATTCTTCTTCATCATTTCTCTTCTTAGCTTAGCCATTTGTCTCCATCCAAGGATCACTTTCAAAATGGCTTTTGTTTTTGATGTGCTATTAACACTTTTGCCTCAGATTTTCCAATGACTTATTTTCCTTTGTACAATTACTTTCAAGAAAAGGTGAGCAAATTTTTAATGCTGACTGAAACATAGAGATCAATAGTTTTTTCAGCTCTCAAAAGGTGGTAAAACACTATCCTTTGTCTCAATGTATGCTGTATTCATAAATGTGATCATGGCAAGTTAGTAAAATACATGTATGGAATGGACAAATGCAACTGCAACCAATTGGATATTTAAGAGCAAATCGCCATCATGCACTCAGCAGGTTAAAGGTTTAGAGTTATTTCATCTTGATTTCTCCTAGACAAAATGACTTTTTGTTACAGTTGGAAAACTGATGTTTTAGGATGATGGTGGCCTATTCCTGGACCTTTTATAGACTGAGACTTCCAGTAGTCTTGACATAAATTATTTCAGAATTTAAGGGTTTTTCAGTTTGAGCTTTCATGATAGTTATATTAATACAAGAGAGATTTTATTTTGTTAGGTTACAAGCTAGAATTTGAAAATATCAAGGATTTTCTGGATAAAGAACAATCAGGATCAGGTACTCATTTCCTTTATAAATTAAAATCATGAGATTAGCTTTCTTCATGAATGCAAATAAAAATTAGAATTTCATTAATTGACTTATGTCCTGTTTTCCTTTCATCATGTGTTATCAGAGAGTTGGCCCTGGTCAGAGAATTGTGCCAGTCATTTCCTCGACTCCAGTTCTACTACATGGGTTACTACATCCACTCATGCCCCAAGATGCGTTACAAGGGCCAGTATTCACCCTCCTACCTCCTCTGCCCTGAGACATACACTTGGCACCCAATGGAACGATGTCGTTCACTCCTGAATGCCAATCGATACTCCCGATTCCATCCAGATGAGAGTGTGGAAGACCCTGATGGTCGAGTGGAACTCAATCAAGTCTGTGTTTAAAAAATCATTTTAAAAGATGTTCTTCATTGCCTTGTGCCAAAGAGTCACGCACCATGCATTAGAAAGAATTAGTTTAAGGATTTTGCCAGTCTATGCTGAATTATTACTTTAGCCCCTTGCAGTCCATTTTATTTGTGACTCTATGGAGATTGTTGGACTATGTCTGACAATCTCCATAGAGATTACAGGGACTGCAAAGGGTTAAGGCTTTTCCTGATGACTGTTAGTTATCATGAAGTCCATTCTTTTGAGAGGTAGAGGAGTAGATGGGCACATCTGTAGCAATACAGTCTATATGGACTGATGGATGATTCTGAATTTCCTCTGTATCCATGTCTACTGTCAATAAATATACTAACCAATATCTTCTCTTGTCTCAGGTGTTGGTTCTATGGAAGTCAAAGGTGATGCCCTACCCACTGTACAAGTCCATGAGTCACATGGAGGATGAAGGGTTTGTGAGGGAATATGCAGATTTAGTGGGGAGCAAGTGTGCTGCATCCATCCTCCTATATCGTGAATGAATATATTTTCTCCCCTCCACCTTGTGATCACCATGTTTACCATTTGTACCGGTATCATGTACAATAGCAACAGACAGAGTTATTGTATTTGATGCAATAAATCAAATCTGATCGGTCATCACATGCATATCTTTCACAACTGAGCAGCATTGGAGATAGACTCTGATTCTGGCCACTTGCACTGGCAGAACACCCATCAGGGAAATCATGCATGAAAATCGGTGAAGCATGCTTCAGGTATATAAAAGAGCATGTAACTAATGTCCTCATCCCGTAAAAAAAAAAATAATTTTTTTTTAATCACTTGAAACATCATGTAGCACACTGCTATTTTTCTGCTCTTTACCACTCCCAGACTCTGACCTAATTCCTATTGATCTTGCAGTAACTGTGGATGACTGCAATACATGAGGGGTTTCTGATTCAAGTTTTTTTTAAATGAAGTGTAGCTTTCCAAAAATGGGAATAGAAAATTAAACTGTTAAATAAAGGGAACAATCCCTCGCTCTTCATGGTTTCCACGAAGAGCGAATTATGCAATAGTTTCTTCTTTGGAAAAACTATTGGATAATTCCGAACTCAAATCAAGAAATGCAAGATGATTCTCGAAGTTGTGGAATGAGTTTTTTATGTTAATTTAGCAATGTGAGTCCCTCTGATAATATATCTTCAACTCCCTACGTCTCTGCTACCTCAAGAGAAAATTTATTCCTCATCATTAGCCACCTTGTTTCGACTGCAGGGTCTCATTTGATTGCCCTTGAGTCAAGTGCGCTCGAAGCATGCTAGATCAGTGCTTCGCCCATAACTTCCCCGATGGACGTATCTGGCCTTGTAAAGGCTCCAATTTTGGCTCTATGAGAATGCACTTCAGGTACATGAAGAAATATTTCCGACGGTCAAGTCATTGAAAGAAGGCGAAAATAGAAAGAGGAAAGAAAGATGATGACTAGAGAAGCAGGTGTGGAGCGAAGAGTAAGGCCTCTGGAGTAAAAGCACACTCGCCGTGGGTCCTTCACGGAGAGGCACGGATCCTTTTCCAGGCGCTTCTTCACGTACAGCTCACCTGCCTTCAGCACCTTCAATCTCGTGCTTTCTGAGCATTTCAGTATATTGGACATCTCCCATGCGCATCTCTGCAACTGCAGTTTTGCACTGCATACAAATGCACGCAGGAAACTCGATTAATTATTGTCCGTGCAATGTCACAACCATTGTGTTATTTCCTTGAAAAAGCACTGAAGGAGTAATTGTGTAATTTTGTGAACGATACGCAAGGCCAAATTCTTTGCCCCTATTAACAAACCTTGCATGCATATTTATGAGAGTCCTTGAAAGAGGATTATTAAAATTCAGATTATTAAAAGTGAGAATTCTTTCATGTTTTTTTTAAATGGTCATTCTCAATTTTCAAGTCATGCAGAACTGACAGGACAACATAAGGATTATCATTTTTGCAAAATAAACCCAAGCTAATCGTCTCATGTTGCAAACCATGGCACAGGCGAAGGAAAATCGGTTGCACCACCGACTGAAATATAGCTGCAACGGTAATCATGGCTCCTGGGGGTTTTGAGAAACTCTCCTTAATTTTTTTTTTTGAGAGAAGAGGAAAAAAGCTCTTCGACAAAATACCTTCTTCCCAATTACTCAAGTTAAAGAGTTGGTTAGGCACCTATTTTAAAACTTAATGAAATGAGGCAAATCTAACTTACTACAAATTTGTTATTAATTGGGGAGAAACTGCCTCATTCTTAAATCAGAAAAAATTTAACTTTTCTATTCAAAAATTCAGCTTGGGGGAAATTAGACTCCATAGAAATTAATTTCAGAATTTTGAAAATTTAGAAAGCTCAGAATTTTTTTTTATTTCCTTCAGAAATAAAACTTTAACTCATCGAGGCGTAGAAAAACGAACTCAGTTCTAAATTCCTGATTAAAGGTTATATAATGAGCTACTATCTCGCTTTATGGTTTTTGTCGTTTCTGGAAACGGTGATTTTGTACACGTGCTTACTTTTGCCCTTCCCTTCCAAAATGTGTAGGAGCATATCTCGGCGATCGTTTCACCCAGACATTTCGCATTTCGAGTTACTTGCTTCTCATATCCCTGAATAATAATTATTTATTTACTGTTAATATAAAGTGGTGCATCCAACTTCCAAAAATTTGTTTCACTTGACGTGCTATGCCCAGTATGCTAGAACTCAATTCTATGGAATGAGACCTTGTATGATTCCATTTGAAATGTTTCAACTGGCCTTGGATAAGTATAGAGCCCTATTTACCATTGGCTAACTTCATGCTGAACGAAACTACGACTGAGAAGCCTGCCGTGGTAGAAAGTGAAGCTTAACAGCAACGGAAGTGGGACAACTAGATGTTCGCTGTTGGGAAGCGATGCTGTTCCTCCTCTTTCGCCTCGCTCTTGCTAGGAGAAAGAGAAGGAGCGGCATTCCTCGTCCCAAGTCGGTTTAAAAAAATTTCCCGCCTCAGCAGCCTGTCAAAGTGAATGCAGAATTGGAGCACCGGATGAGACGGCGAAGAGCCGTAATAGACATTGCATCTCACCAGCAGAAAGTTTCCTCCTTGGACTGAACTCCGCGATGGAAATTCCTATTGGAAACCCTCGGTCCGGTAAGGGCGAAGACGTCTCTCGTGACGTTCTCGAAGGCCTCAATGCATCGAGACCAAGCACGGTTGAGGATCTCCATGCACCGGTTCTCCTCCATCCACACTGCAAGCACGTAAACATGATCACGATTATTTCACTGCATGGGAAATTGGTGCAATTTTGGAAGGGATAAGAAGCACTTAATGAGATGCCTTGTAATTGATTCTTGTCCTCACCCTCCATCATATGCTGACGCTAAGCTGTTAACGATGTGTCATTAAAAGTTCCTTCTTCGGGTGTTTTCTTTTCGAGGAAAAATACGTTTTTTGGATAGGCCTATCGGGTGATTCTTGTATAGTGTTTCTTGTCCAGATCCTCCCCCCCCCCCCCCCCCCTTTCCAAATTGCCAATTATATTCTGATCGTGTTCAGAAATGTAAAAAAGAGGGGAAACATTCTATCTTCTTAGTTTGGGTCCGTTTTCCACAAGCCGGGCAAATCGCCGGCTTTGCATTCTAACGGTTCAAGGATTCGTTAAGTCTTTCTCATTCATTTCATCTTCTACCTCATTTATGGAAGCGGTAAAGTTAACCATTGATAAGTTAGGGCAAACTTGCTTCACTTCTTTTATTCTGGCGGGGCAATGGAGCAATCGAGGCCACCCCTCGAATCCAGACAGTCGACTACGCTCAACGAACATTCCAGATGCATGCAAAAAAAATATTTCAAAGATTCATTCCCAATGTCTCTAATCGTGGAAAAGAAATCCAAATCAAGTTAATACATTTCACTTCTAGGGACCCCACTCACTCATACATTTAGCTTATATTTTCCGATGATAGACAGTTATCGAATCAAAAGGGATTTCAGTTTAAAATTAAATTGTTCATTACCAATGAGATTAAATTAAATTACGAACGGCGAGTAATATAAATTAGGATTTAAAATTGCAACAGTTGATGACTTGTGAAAAAAAAAGAAGAAATAAAGCTGTTTCCTAAGGGTACTATTCTTTCTACAGTAATTTGAAAGTGCAAAGCATTTCAGTTTCACCATTTATATTCCTCAGCTCTGATACCAGGAAAGAAATTTATTTATAATTCAATTATAATTGCACTGTGGTTTGTAATTTAAAATTGAACTAAGCGCGTTTGATTACGTAATTTGTCATCATTGACAATTGACATATTTCATTTTTTACTTTATTTAAATTTAATTATTCATTTCAAATATCGAGGCATTGCACAAAGCAAATTGCGTCTCGGAGTCAAAAATACGAGGAGAAAAGGTTTCAACGTCACAAGATGGGTAAAATGGAAACGGACTAGTCGAGCAGTTCGGCGTTCATCGATCTCGTCACGGCTGGGACGGACGATGCAAAAAATCTCATTGTTCTGCGCTGAAGATGTTGATGATGAAGATGCGAGAGCAAAACCCTGAACGAAGTAATCTCGTCGTTTTGCGCAGTGTGGTGAGTCCCGATTTTGCAAGGGAGGCAGTATGATTTGGATAAGAAGTACCATCGATTTTTAGTGTACTTTAAACAAATATTTTCTACGAGTTTCTCTTCCGAAGTAGTCAAGGCGGAGTGCCGTACTGAGGCAGCATATTCCATGATGGGCTTCGTGAATCTTCTCCAAATTTCACTCGTGTCTTCCGGAGGGGCTTCAAAGGATTTCATGGTTTATTGTTCGAACGTCCGCTTTGAAGCTTCCCGTGGTGTTGTAAGAATGGGGCTTTTCAAAGTTCAGAGAGGTCGACTGAACCTGGCCTAATATCTTCGTCTCGAGGCATAGGAGAGAATTTTTCCTTGGATGATTAAGAGGGGGTCGGTTGAAGGGGTCGGTTGGGAGGGCTCTTCGAGAGGTTCAATGACGTTAGGCACTTGGGATTGAATTTCGCGGAATTTGTAATGGACCGCTCTTGTAGTTCATCGAGGGCATGTGGAATGGGTAAGTAGAGGATTTAGGGTGAGACGCTGCCATGGTCTTGTCGTCGACGAATTCGTAAATCATCACATCTTTTTCATCATCATGGACCATGACATTGAAAGGGAACGGGCCCAAAACGGTGCCTTGGGGTTCGCCGCATGCGATTTAAAACGCTAGAGAGGGCACCGCCGATCCTATCACGTTGCGTTTTTCCTGTGAGGAACGAGACGAGTACAAAAAATCCTCGAGGGATGAGCGCCAAGAAGCCATAGCTTCTGAATTAGGCAAGCACGGTTGACACTGTCAAAGGCTTTCATATTACGCTGCTTTTACAGCTCTTCCCTAGCTGACAATCAATCCGATGGATGAAGTGAAGCAAGTCGACTAGGTAGTGCGTCGTCGGGGTGCCTCTCTGGCTGCCACATTCATTTCCATCTAAATGATGGCACGTGTCGGCTGTTTCGAAACGATCCTTTTCAGGAAGCTGCTTTAATCGGAGCGAGAGACATGGGCTTCACTTCGTCTTAGAATGCTGCTGGAGATGTTTTGCGCACCGGGACCGCGATGACCTCTTTCCAGATCGTGGGGATCGCTCCCACTCGGAGTGAAACCCCTTCCGGCCGACCATTCGTGGTTCCGTGTGAAAATGGTCTTCTCGAGGGTCTCATAGAAGGTTCATTTTGATGCGAAGCAAATTCCATTCCACGAGAAAACCGTCGTTTAGAGGGGTGGCCTGCTCGAAAGGGTGATCAGGAAGAGGGGTTTCACAGCATCTTAATCAGTAAGATAGCTATTTCTCAGGCGAACTCTTCGAGTAATCGAGCAGGAATTCGACATGATCGCTTTAAATGTCACCATTTAAAGCGTCTAAGTCTCATAGGCGAGAGTGGGGCATCATGGGTCACGGGGTACCATGGGTCGGGCTGTCTATAGCTCTCCCAGCTCTGTTTCTCTTCGTGTCGTATGCTATATATCTTCCTGCTGAGGTGCCAGGAAAGTGTAGTTGAAAAAAGTGTAGTCCCCACCCAAAGTGCAAATTGTGTGGACATTTTTCTGTAGTAGACACTTTTTCGTTTTTGTTGGCAGAACGTCTCGATTTTTGCTATTATTTCATTTGATGAATAGTCTTGATTCTTACTGGAATTTTATTCGGGAGATAGGTAGTTCAATGTCTGCGCGTACGTGTATGATCTACAATCTCAATTTACTCTGGTTGAAACATTGATTTCACTTCAATGGCTCCTGTTGGGGGCACGATGGGTTATTGTATTTGGGACACGATGAGTCACTCTATTTTAGCACAAAGGTTCATAACTCTGTGCGCCAAATGTTTTCTGATAGTTGGCAATACAGATGAAGATTTCCTTTGCAGTCTTTTCCCGATCTAATAAAGCGCAAATAGAAGTGAAAGACTCTGTAGGGTTCAACACCAGCAGATGCGAAATTCTTGGACGCGAAACGAATCGTATATTATTTTCCGATTAAAGGTTCTTAATTTTTCTAGACAACTTAGGTGGAGTGCATCAGTGTTGAAGAGCTTCTCCTCCTGGGGTGCAAAGACTTCGTGTGATTACTTTGGGTCAAATGAAATTTGACCCAAAGTCATTTTAGTGATGATCATGGGTATGACCTATCGTACCCCGGACATTGATCCATGGTGCCCCATTTTAAAATACGACTTTATCCCACGACACTTGTATGTTAACACATTTGAAGCACTAGATTGTGCAGGTGTTTTGAGTATTTACACGCGGGGCCTTCCATTGCGTCAGAGGAATGATGAGTAAGTCGCAGGCCCACAAAGAAGTGACCTACGGTGCCCCACCCTCCTCTATAACTTCATTTCCAAGCTTTTCCTTCTCATCTTTTCATCTTGCTGGTATTTCCTCTCCTCACCCCTCCCGGTTGCTAAGGAAAGAAATCCCTGAAATATTTCCTTACTTTGACGTCAGCGCAATCTTGCAGTAAGTGCTGTTGAAAGATTATATTTGAGGTTCATAAAGGATGCATTTATTTTCCCTTGGAGGGTTCCCAAATCGAATTAGTCCAAATTAAAGGAAGAAATGAAGTGCTCGTGAGTCAAACTTTTTATACATTTGCATCTTGCATGGACTGTGCCTATTTTTGTACTAACTGAGTTTTTTTAAACCGTAAGCATGAGATTTCAGATCATTGCAGGAGGAATCTTGAAAAAGAAAAACTAGAAATGAGGAAAAGTATCTCCTGGGGTCGTGAATACGACGAGGCATTTCAGGCATCCACTCATACACTTTTTATTAAGATTTCTTAGATTAGGAGGGATTTCTTAGGAAAATGGCGCAGGAAGAAGAAAAATGCAACACGGAAAAA